AACGTCGGGGAAGAGTGTGCTCACAGCACCGGTGTAAAAAGTGTTTGAACCTCCCAGGTTTGCATTTGATGGATTTCCTTCATAACCTCCATTGTYGACAACATATAGTGTCAACATTTCTTGTAAAGTTTGACGAATGGCGTTGTGGATGATTACCACATCATCGTCGTCCATAAACTGATATAACGTATTTATTTTAAAAAATAAATTGAAAGGACCACGTAAAGTTAACTTTTTCGTCACACGTTTTGACGACCCCAGAATACGTTATTGGCCAAGACAAACGTATTGCACATGTGGGAGAGGTAATCGGAAGGTACTCTAAAACACCATTTATATCTTGGAATAAACCGCCACTTCGAAGATACACACAAACATTATCACTTTYACGTGATTTCATGTTTTGTGATGGTTGATTGTGTTTAGTGGGTTAAAGGTTATGATGGTTTATTGTGTTTAATGGGTTAAGGGTTGTGAGAGTAAAATATATGAGAAAAGAAATGGAAGAGAATGTGTGAAAAATTATGAATTAGGAGGTTGGTATTTATAGTGAAAAAAAATCAATTTTTTTTTAATTGCGAAATTTAAAATTAAATATGTAAAAAGACACACTTTATGTATTTTTCCATTTTTAATAAAAACACCCCTTAATTGTTGTATAAAAATAGAGGTCAAATATCGTCAATCAGATATTATATCTGATTTCCCATGAAAATTAATTTTTGCATCTCCATAATTATAAAGATTTATTTTTAAATCTTTTCCTCATGAAATTTGGTTTTAAAAAAGTTAAAAAAATACAACTTTAATTTTAAAAAAATTCGAAAAAAAAAAAATTCACGGGTGAACAGTACGGATCGCCCCCGTACTGTACGGATCGCCCCCGTGAATAGTACGGATCGCCCCCGGGCGAGGTCAAACACGGTCAACRAGGTGAACAGTAATCTCGACTTTTGAGAATTTTTTTTTTTACTTTTTTATATGGGATCGCCCCCATTATGCCGGGGGCGATCCGGGTGGTTATTTTGGCAAAACCTCTAAAATGTGATTATTTTGTGGCAAAAGGTTGTGTAAAACGGTTATTTTTATAAATTTCCCAACAAAAAACTCTAGTTTTGTCCCATGAAAATGAGTTTTAGTCCCA